AAAAAAAAAAAAAAAAAGAAAAGGAAGACATCTGGGAGAAGGAAGGTATATTGTCTGTTGCAGTTAATTTACAAAAGGAAATGGCTAAGGGACTTTCACAAACATTTCATAGATGGGAAAGTCTAAATTGTTAATGAAAAAATGTGCAGTCATAAGAAAAATAATAAAATAACAATGCCAAACTAGTGCATCCTTCAAACATGCTTCCCCTACCCCCTTTTTTCCCACAATAATTCCACTGAGAAACAAATAGCAACGAGACAGCCCCAAACCAAATTGGCAGGACAGCCTCAAAAATCAACACAATGCATACATTCCTCCCAGCGGCCAACTGCTGCACAAGATGCTGACCCGATATACCACCCACAAACACCATCAGAACAAACCCCTCCACTCATCAAGAGAATGCAACTACACATCCATCCCAACCACCCCGAACACACAGACACAAAATGGACACCCATCTGTATCACCCACTTCCACCAAGTTTTATCATTCAAACACCACAGGTATGCAAACTCAGCAAAACACTCCAAAAGCGTTCAGTAGTCCACAATAGCACCAGGTCTTCCACTTCACTGGCAATGCCAGAAACCGCCAACCTGAGTCCCCCACAGCCCAACACAACACCATGGCTTTACTTCCCATACTTCGTTCCTACACTTTTCTGCTGGATGGCCAAGACCAAGGCAAAGCAGGACCCATGCAACAAGAGCTGCAGCCCATAGGTCCGATAAGGTCAGTGAAATCCCCCTAGGACTCATCCCGAGATCCTGCACCTCAGACTGCAGAACCCCTGTCAGCGTCAGCCATGTGGATGAGCCACGGCCACCACTCGACCAATGTGTTCTTCGCAAAAGCCCAAGAGAATGCCCTTTCCCCACGTGACACTCCCCAGGCACACTCTACACCATCGATCACTCTCCTCCTTGGACCCACAATCCCCCTATCAGAAAATTTGGGACACCATAGAGCTACATGATGTCACAGCACAAGTTCTCATATGTCCTGAGTCCTAAGCGACCCCAGAAGGCCAGGGCCAAAATGTTGGCCTTCCCTGTGGCCCTCCCCCTTCTCCAATTATGGTCTGCAAACCTAGGCTGCCCACCATCCAGAAGACAAGCCCATTGCCACTACCATACAACCCAGGCTGCCAAGCTCAACCCCACTATCTGTCCGAACATCAAACATCCTAGGCATAACATGGAACAGGTACTCCTCATCAAGCACTGACACGTTGAACTTCAAGTCCCTATAGAACACAATGAAAAAACATTCAAAAATTAGAATATATTTTTAAAAATAGGCATAAAGAACTATATACCTCTCATGTCTACACATAAGTCCAAAAATCCAACCACATACAACCCCAAAGCAGGACAGTCCCATATCACTCTCTGTCCCATCTCCCGCCTTCACTCACCACCCCCCTCCTTCTGAACAATCATGTATCCGAGAGACAGCACAGCAGCAACCAGCACTTCATGACAAGCAGGCTGCACCCAGAAGACCAGAATGACAGGCACCCCAAGCATGAAACCACCACCACAGATCACCATCTTCAGCGCAGTTGCCCAGTCCATAGGCATCAGTATACATAGTTAGTCAGGGTGAGAATCCCTCCAACCAACTGCCAGATTCAAAAATCCTTTGGAGACTCCCAGGATCACCGCCCCGCCCATCCTCCACACACAACTGCATGGCTTGACACTGTCATGTTTCCTAGCTCTTCTCCTTTCCCTCTCTTGATTAGTTAGTCCTCGAGATCCTGCTTCCCTTTTACTTGTATTATACCTTTCTATTTGTATTTCTCTTTTTGAGTTCTTATACTAGGGAGACTATACGATATTTACA